GCAGACCAACTCGCGAACAGAAGATGAGAAGATGCTTGACAGGGAGGGACCGTCGTTCCCCGGCCTGAGAGACAACCGCTGTCTAATACCACGGCCAAGAGCGAAGACAAGCTTTCTCGGCAGGGTCAGCCGCCAACTGCTGCGACCCGCTGCTCGCCTTCGCAAAAGAAAATCATGTCCAATTTTTTGACATCATGATGAATGGCCTCAGGGCCCGGGGTGCCCCTGTACTAGTCGCCTTATTCTCCGCCAAAAAGTTCGTATCCAAGAGATCGGACGACTGCCGAACCTGGCTTAAAAAGAGGGGGCTTCCAGGGGTTGGCCGTCTTTTGCTTCTGGCCCCCGAGTTTTCCAGATGAACTGGTTCATTGCCTCGGTTCGCAGAGGGAGCAAGCAGTACGAATAGGCGCAAAATCTGTGTTGCTTCCCGTATTCCTCAAGTCTCTCGTAAGGAACGGATGATCAACAGCATCGTCAATTGTTGTTTTCGTTGTTGATACTCTTTGAAAATAGTACTGATTCGTGTCAATGTTGTCCTTGCACAAATGTTTACAGAACTGTTCCTAGCTCTTCATCAGAACCGGCAAATCGGCGCGCATTGAGCTAATTTCGCTTTCAGCGGCCGCTAGAAGCACCGTTGATTCCACCACTGGCCTCACTGCAACCCCATCTAAGCACTCTATGTGAAGGTTGACACAATCTTAATACGAAGAAGGTTCTTTTGCGTCCCGCGGGATGCAGGTTAGCATGGACTGTCGAGGTTTGGGCGGAGGTTACGAGAAGATCGCCGCTCCACGATCCTGCAACGGGAAGTTCGTTACGGCCCTGGTCGTGGTCACGATGTGATCCATCCCTCGGTGCTTCCCGGTTCTCTCAAAATAGCTTTTGTCATGCCCCAATTTTCATATCCGCCTTCGCGACCTCGTAGGGCGTTGACGGGAATAGCGGCAGCTTCTCCAAAGACTCGTTAAGAAGGGCATCGTTCTCTCCCTCTCTCACCAGAGGGTTTCTTCTTCACGCTTCCGTCCTCCATCTGTCACTCGTTCAGTAAGCCTCAATCGACAGGATGCGCACCCAGTCCCTCGCCATGGCGGCCCTGGCCAACACCGCTCTCGCCGCGATCCCGACCGTCAACATCCCGCTGCACTACTACTACGGCGGCGGCCACAAGATCGCGACCAACCTCGTCAACCCCAACTCCAACAAGTCCATCGAGGTCGTCTTCGACCAGGGCTCCGAGAACTTCTGGGTCTTCGGCCCCGAAGCCATCAACAACTGGGGATGCACCGCCTTCTTCTGCCAGGGCAAATGCAACGTCACCGTCGACCCCTTCTACGACTACCCCAACAGCCCGACGGCGCAGAAGCCCGAGCCGTTCCCGTCGCAGTTCGCCTACGGCGGCTACACCAAGATCGTGCAGGGCAAGGTGAGCGTCAACGACACGTTCCACTTCGCTGGCGACGCGGGCCTTGCTTCAGACGTTGCCGCCAGGGTCGCGATCGCGGAGTACATGCAGCAGCGCCTCCCGGCTAACCAGGACGGCACCTGCGGCTCGGCCGGGGCCTACGACCTCGGCATCTTCGGCGTGGCGCCGTTCTACCGCACCGCCGAATGGAACACCACCGGGCCGCACGTCCGCCAGGACCTCCTCGAGAGGGGCGAGATCAGCGCACCCGTCCAGAGCATCTGGTTCGACGAGGCCCCCGAGAACTGGGACGGCACCTTCACCGGCAACGCCGTCTTCGGCGCGATCGACCACTCCAAGTACACGGGCGAGCTCGTCAAGGTGCCCCCGGTGAAGAACGACGGCCTCGGCGCCTCCGTCGGCTACTTCGTCGCTCCCCCCACCGTCAAGGTGAAGAACGTCACTCTCGACAACAGCGAGCTGAGCACCCGGTCTTGCATGATCGACTCAGGCACCCAGATCAATGACCTGCCCATCAGCTCGTCCGCGATGGATGCCTTCTCCGCTGCGGCCGGTCTCGCCCGGGACCCCATCGGCCACACTGCCTGGAACGGCAGCTGCGACTCCATCCCCAGGGATCTGACCATCGACCTTGAGTTTGAGGGCGCCGGAGGCAAGAAGGTTACGATCAAGACTCCCCTGCGCAACTATGTCCGCAACAACGCCGATGCGGCGCCTGGGTTCTGCGCACTCAACATCGATACCGGTGGCTGCATGCTCGGCGCTCCCTTCGCGACGGCTGCCTTCTTTGCTGCCAACGATGCTGAGAACGAGATTGCCCTGGCACAGGGCGGTGTGTCCAAGCGTGGAAGCAATCCTGATGAGGCATCGTTCACTCTAACCATTGCTTGAGAGAGGTTATGCAATTTGATAATGAATAATAAGTAATGCCACAACAAACGGGTCCACCATTCAGTGAAACGTGTCTTCGATTGCGTCATGACTCCACTAGATATCATTCTGGCTGCCTACATGGTTCTCTACAATGAGTACTTCTTGGAGCTCTGTCGTGGGGTAATCTTCACCCAGAAGTCGACGGGCCGCTCGTTGAACCACCCGTAGTGATGCAGCTCATACTTGGGGTTAGCCAACTCAAAGTCGAACTCCTTGATCAACTTCGCCATCACAACCATCTGCCATAGCCACGCGTAGTGCTTTCCGATGCACTCTCTCTTGCCATTGCCATAATATTTCTTGACTCCCTCCGGGAGCTCATCATACTTCTCTCCAATCATTCGCTCAGGCTTGAACTCGTTGCCGTCCCCGCCCAAGAATGCCTTTTTATCTCGACTTGCGCCAGCCAGAACGACGATCATTCCCTGATTGTACTTGATCTCATACTTGCCGTTTTCTCCCGTGAGAAATACCGGGCCGGTGTCTTCGCCTTCCGTATGGATCGGCTCAATATTGAAGCCCGGTGCTGCGAAAGAGAGGCGGAGAGACTCCCGAACGATGCCTTCAATGTACTTCAGCTGGCCGATATTTTCGTATGAGATTTCGTAATCTCCAACCACAGCGTCAAGTTCCTTCCGAGCTGCGTCCACGATGCGTTGGTTCTTCGCGAGGTAGTACATGCCCCCAGCAATGGCGCAAGGGGCGGTGCTACTCCCGATGGGCATAGACACAATCTCGTCGACGACTTCAGATTCGGTCTTCGAAATGTTGCGAAGCTTCCTAGGTATGTTGCTTTCGGGATCCTTCGCAGTGTCCTCCATCATGGCTGCAAGAAGATCCTTGCGGTCTGTAGGGTTCTGTTTCCTGTAATCGATCAGGTCTTGGGCGTATGTCCTCATGACCTCGGTAGAATCCCTGAGCTTATTCCTGTACAAGAACTTCTCCCAAGGAAGTTTCCTGTTCGGCCTTTGGACGGCTTCGCCGGTCGAGTCGTCCATGCCTTTCAACATTGGATGAGGCTTGTCCAAGTAGTTGAGCTTCTTTCCGAAGAGTGACAGAGTCGTAGCCTCGAGATTGAGTCGATCCAGCTGAGCCAGGGGCTCAATTTTTGCCCCCGGCCCAAGGTCTCTCCACATGTCGAAGAGCTCGTTTGTGGTGTTGAGGAAATCGCCGAACAGATGTTGGACTGATTCCTTGGTGAGTTTCGGTGCAATGATGTTGTGGTGGACCGGCCACTGAGAAGAATTGTGGTACGCCGTAAAGAGCGCGATATTGACCGAGGTTTGGATCTCTTTGATGGGCGGAGTGACCTGCTTCCGAAAGCGCTGCTCATTGCATACTTCTTCCACGAGTTTATGACCCGTAATGAAGACAAGAGTCTTTGACGCGACCTTAGCCTGGAAAATTTCGGAGTGGTCAGGGTCTTCGGCGAGTTTCTTGAAAAACGGCCATGGATTTTTGCCATTGCTCAGGAACTGGAACATATTGTCACCGCCAAATTTGGGGATCCAGGCGGGGAGCCCTCCCTTGGCCTGGGGGATGGCGATGATGTCGCCCTTCATTTTGGTGTGCTGCTTGAATCTTGTTAACGAAAAGCGGCAGATGCAAGGATGGGTGAGAGGGGATGCTAGGGATCGGTATCCTTCAGCTCTTAAGTTAAGTAGTAACAGGATGTTCTCCTAAGGTAGCTCGAAGACCCCGAACATCTACTGAATTCCTCATCCATCCGTTCGCGCGTCAACTGTCTCGCAATGGCTATTATTTGTCTCACCGGACCACAGCACCGCGCATGCGCGACGGCCCGTAATCGAATACAGGACCGTTGTCATTGGATAATGGACTGTCACTCGCAGCTCGTTTTCATGCTTTGAGCAGAGCCATGTCTTACAGTGTCAGACAAGAACTGATTATTTTCTGCTGTCAAACATGTGCACAGCACATTCGAACAGGCTGGCAACGTGCGGCACGCTATCGGGCTTCGTGGTCACTCACTCCCCCGCTCCAGCTTTGAAATCCGATATTTGACATTGGGAATCGATTGGTTGAGTTTACTGTTGCTGCTAGTCCGTTCGCTTTGGGTACTGAGTATGCCGGATTAAGGAAATCCTCGAGATGGGTTGTCTATGAATCTGGATCAAGGGAAGAACTTCGAGCAATGATCTGCACAGATCTACGAGATAGCTCTCCCTGGTGCGTCGTTGGGTGAGACATGTAATCGCGGCGGCGCTTGGCAGAAGTCTACACGGTGGTGTTTTGGTGTTGTGTCTCTCCAGCAGCACGGGAAAGCTACCCGTCCGTATTAGTGGCCGATCGGGGATCGACGTGGTCCCCTCCCCGCAACGGGCTTTCCCTTCGTGTCTGCTTGCTTGTCCTTGCAGCTGTAGTGAAAGCTTGCTAACTTTTCCAGGCTACAAGTTTCGAAGGAAAAGGGGATTTGATGGCGGCGTTTTAATGTGAGTGAATGGCCGCGCGCAGCATTGGACAGAAAAAGGTGGCTGACCTGAGTGAGATAAGACTCATCCGAGTCATCCATTGCCAATACGTCCTCGCAGGCTTGCGCGCATCATGTAAGCAAGCACACACACAACAACAGCCAAGGGAGACTGATTGATCTTTCCTCAAAATCGTCAAAAAGTGAAGATGCGGCCAGTGTGGATTGAACACACGACCTTCAGATTAAGTGATTGAAGTTTTCAATGGGTCGCAGAGACCCATACTTCAGTCTGACGCTCTCCCAACTGAGCTATGTCCGCCGCTCATCTTCAGACCCGCCTCGACTGCAACACACAGATGTACCCACCTCACGCAATAGTGGTTGATTGAGATCCACGAGCGGCCATTCAAGCATGCTCACGAGTCCTGAATTTATCGGACTTGGCCTTTCATTCATTATTGGTTCCAGTGAAAGTTCAAATCTCATGCCCTTGACATTCGGTGAGAGCTAGGTTCTTCGGTAGGTACAGGAGTGCTGGCTCGAGATTGAAGGCTCACTGCCACCACCTCGGACGAGAAAGGACAAGTCTGCCTCCGGCTCTGACTCCGACATCCGATATCGTGAGGTCCAATGAAGAATTTCGTCCATAAATTATCGCCAATGCATATAGGTGAACGATACGCTATGTATTGATCCCCTTGTTATCGTACACTTTCCTTCCCTCTAAGGCCTCGAACGCGAATGATACAAACATCTTGACAACTCAGCAATCGCTGGGAGACCATTCTTTCTTGATTCGCCTCTTCGCAATTATTTTCCAAGCCCACGAGGAAAGTGGGATGAAAAACGAATACTCTCATTCAAAGTATTCTCGGGAAACAATACCGCTCTTAGTACGGACAGCTCCACAGGAATAATCTCTGCCTATTCCCACCATTAGTCGAAGTAAATTCCTCTATGTGGGTTGCCCCGAGCGTTTGTAGTATGACTTACGCACAAGAAACTGCCTCCATGACAAGATCAACAATCCGGATAATCCACGCCGAAAGCGTTGGTGCACTCAGAGTCGTTGAGTGTTGAACCAAATTTGTTGTCGTCGCAACCGCATCCCCAAAAGGCGTGCTTGCAGCCGGCGGTGCATCTCTCTCCATTAGCGTAGTAGCCAGTTGATCCAGCCGCCCGGGCAAGTACGGGCCGTGACAGTGGCTACGGCACCGAGAGCGATGGCAACAAGAGTAAGACGGACCATGATTATACGAATGAGTGGAAATGACTGAATAAGTAAAAGAGAATGTGTCAGGTTTCGAATGGTGGTGAGTGTTAGAGCGACGAATACCGTGCCAAAGAGAACAAGACGTCTGCATGGGCAAGCAAGGTGTTTAAGTAGACACCGAGAATCCGTGGACTCTTGAATGATTGAGTACCAGTCCCATGGCACTGCCCCTCTCTTTGTCTATGCTTAATTCATACAAAGTAGGATGTTCATCTCAGATGACTCGTCTGAAATCCAGCTCTCAAGTTGCTGATGATGTTCACAAGGCTACCCGGAGTTACGATCCAATGGGAACTATTATCATCTAGGCAGAACCGTTCAGTGCTCCGCACGGTCAAGTCTAAGACGCCGATCCTATTGTTCTTAAAACTTAATTAGAGGTCCGGATGGTTCTCTTCTTTCCCAACGGAGGCGAAAGAGGAAATTTCGCTGACTCATACTATTTCTGACTGCTTAACTTGAGGAGACTGCAATTTGAGCTAGACGGCCAAAAAGGAGTGTTGATCGTAGCCGACGAGTCCAGGTATTGGTATTTGACATATTGTCACTCTCGGGGTGCTCGCTTTCTCCGTCAACGCAATCTTTCTTTCGCGGCATGTCACGTGTTCACGCGCTGAATCATTTCTACACTAGCACCGACTGCAGTACAGCTGCTCGTGTTGAGTCAAGCCGCAGAAGCTTCGGTGGGCGATTCGATTGAAGGATTCGTAGATTCTGCATCGCCTCGGTGATAAAGTGAGCTTTATTTGGGCGCTGCCTGCTCTGTCTATCCGTGTATACGGCCGCCCATTAATCTGGAAGCGCAGACGAGGGCGCAGGGGTTGGACTTATGTTTCGGTCAATGAGAGCCGCTGGACGCTCGGCTGCTGCCTCTATGCGTCATAAGGTCGGACCGACACCTTCGCTTGTTCTTGTTTCTGTGTCGTAAGTTCTCCGCGTTGCATCTCCCAGGGAACAAAAGCCCCGTGTGTGAGGAGAGGCAGTGTGGCGTCTGTGAACATGCCGTTATGGAATAAGCAAGGGTATGTGCACCGGTAAAATTTGTCTTGTGGAATCTATTTTGGATCAGAAACGTTGAATTGCAAATGAAAAAAACACCCTTTGACAGGCTTTCATTCTTCTGAGATCTAAGGGAGTGCAGCAGCATTTCCGACATCAACAGGTGGCTGCTTTGGGAAGTTGCAAATTGGTGAGTAAGACATGGCTGGCACTTGGAATTAATGCAGGTCAGGTTTCTTGGAAAGCCCTTATTGCAGCATAATCCTTAATCCTGCATTTTCAGTCTTTTGATGCTCAGATCGCGCCCATGTGGCTTCTGTGGCAGATCTTCTGTATCTCATGTTTGTCTGTCTGTCTATTTCGGTATCCATCGGAGGAGAAGAACAAGGCCACCGGGAGGGAATAATTGCACATTGCGAGCCAGAACAAAAGACATGGCAGACTTGAGACCAGCTGAGGTTTTGATTGCGTTCTCGCAAACCCGACAGTCTGGGTAGCATTCCTGGTAGCTGGAGATAGCTTCTCAGCTCTGGCGGATGTGATCCTAAAGGGTTGATGATTATGGTAACTCAAGCAATGCTTATATTCATTCTGGCCCCTTCCGCGTTACTCTTGGACTCGCGAAGTCTCCCGTCCTAACCACAGTCACTCTCAATTTTCCACCGCCGTCGGGCACTGAAGTCATGATGAAGTCTTTCTGGCTTGCAGTAGTCATCGCTGACTTTATCCGAAGCTCTTCGGCTATCCTTCAATACTCTTACAATATTTTACCCAGTTCGACCACTTCGTCCACACTGCTCAGCGCTTCAGGAACATCTTCATCTGTACTCTCATTCTCATCAACTGCGTCATCTGCAGCTACAGTATCGCTTAGTTTGAGCTCAAGCCTTATACTGACAACGACGACTGTCGACCCGTCAAGCAGTCTTACCTCATTGCCAACTGGTACTGCGATCTCTACGTCAAGTTCGACCATCATCTCATCCGCATCTACGACGATCAGCACGTCAAGCACTTCGAGTTCGTCATCAGCCATTACCACTGTGTCTTCCTCAAATTCAATCTTAGTGCTGTCGACAATTTCCACTTCATCAAACAGCGTCAGTTCGTCTTCGACTAGTTTTGGGCTGTCTACCACAAGTACATCCATCTCTCCATCTAGCAGCTCCTCCGTCGGATCCACCACCAATACCTCACAAGCATCCATAATTGCGGGAGGATCCTCAAGCAGAACGTCAACCACCTCATTCAATACCTTTTCTATCCCTGGCGCCAGTTCTATTGTGAACAGTAGCATCAAAGCTTCTTTCAGCGCGAATGGATTGTCAAGCTCCAGCGTGCTTCTCAGCTCGACGCTTACTGTATTGCGTACTTCTTCAAGCTCGAGTGCTTCTTCGGGTTTGAGTACTTCTTCGAGCTCTGGTACTGTCTCGCCTACAGCCACATCTTCATTGGCATCGATAAGCTCTACAACAACGCCCTCTTCAAACACAACATTAGTTTCAATCTCTGCCGGAGAGTCGCAGACTACGCCTTTGGAAGTACAGACAACATTCCAGAGTCTTATATCAGATGGTTTCTCTTCGACTTCCAGCACTCTCGCTATCTCTTTATCGGCAACGACGGTCGAACCTCCTAGCTCTTCACCATCATCAGCTACAACGATATCTCCCGGGGTGTTGTTTGTGCTCACCATTTTTACGGCACCTCAAGCAACACCATCTTTTCCATAACCTAAATACCACCAGAGAGGTTGATGATCGTGGACTGCAACAAGACTTTAACCATGAATAACTACAATAATTGCATTAGGAGATGCTGTCGGCATATGAGTCGTTGTTCCATGAAAGCTGAGGCCAAATTAGCTCATATGATGTGCCGTTCGTCCTGGCTGTCTTCCGGTTAGACTGGGTTCAATTTCAAATTGTCATAAAACCCGTTCATTCTCGCTCGCTACATGATCTTCATCGCACCAAGTTCCGCAAAACACATCACATCGAATCGAAGCCTGAGAGTATTCGTTTCATCGCTCCAACAAGGTGCCTCCTCTCGTTTTGCATAAAGACTCAAGTCTTCCTTGACCGAATCAACGAAATCTGCTAGCCGTTTCGTCCAGACAATATGAACCCATTCGTCAAATGCCTCGGCCCAATAATCCGCCATTATCTCAACATCATCTCTCTCGCCATCTGTGAGATATCTGAGGACCCTCAATGCTGGTTTCGGAACCTCGACGTGCTTGAGTCTATCTATTATCCCATTGGCTTCAGGCAGGACAATCGATATGGATTGCAGTTGCGGCAAGTATTTCACAGCCATCGGTAGCCAAAGTCCTCGGTCGGTGACTGGGAGAGCAAGTGCCAGATGCTTTGTGGCGGAAGGCCATTCAACTCGACCGCATGCCTGACAGAAGTTGTAGAAGTTGTCGCTGTCAAGGTAGAGCATGTCTTGTTCTGGGTTGTAAAGCCGAGCTCGGGGCAATTTTAGAAGCGCGACTTGGCGGGCCTCGGTGTTGGTCGCCAACAGTGAGGAATAAGGATTGTGAACTTTCAATGTTGGAACAAGGTCCAATTTGAGATCCGATGGTGGAATGCAAATATTTGAGAAGATCTCGAGGCAGCACTCCCAAATTCTCTTTCTAATATGGAGGGGGAGACACGTAAAGTATCTGAATTCAGGTAGCGAAGGGTATTGGAAAGCATCTTGTGGGTGGATAATGCAGCCTAGGTTCAGGAACAACATGGTGTAGGTTTTTTATGAATTTTTGGAAAGGAAGATAATGGCTAGAACTCCGTCAAGCGTAATGCTCACGAGTATCTGCTCCGAAACGAGAACAATATACGTTTAATGAATGGGTCTTCGTAGCCAAGTTGAAACAAACATGAGGACATCGCATACCTATCCATTTGAGAGGCCGCCAGCGACATAGAAGAAACTTGCTGGTTGTTGACCCAGTCCTGCCTAGGCATCTCGACGCTAAGTATTCTGCCTTGCCAATGCCGCTGTAGCCGGTGGAGCCTGTCATCTGCACAACCTCACTGCGCCTC